CACCGCGGGCCTCGGCCGATTCTCCGACTCGCCCGAGGCCTCATCACCGCGGGCCTCGGCCGATTCTCCGACTCGCCCGAGGCCTCATCACCGCGGACCTCACCGATTCTCCGATTCGCCCGAGGCCCCCTCACCGCGGGCCCTCGGTCGATTCCCCGCCAGAGGCCTCGGCCGAGGCCACCGACCCTCCGTCTCGCGCAAAGGCGGGCTCGGCGACGCCGCTACCTCTTCCTTCTCCGTCCCTTCCGCAAAACGTCGTGTCGCGTCAACTCAGCCAACTGCTGCCCCTGACAACAGCCGCATGCCCGCATGACAAGACAAAGAGAATGGCCGATGGGGCAGAGAGCGAGGACTGCCACAGGGGTTACCCGCCACCAGACTAACCCCTGCACACGTGGTTGGCGCCCATGCCTCACTCAGGCCGCCAACTCCTGCTCCAAGGACAACGCAGCATGGGGAGCCACGTCTGAGCTCATCGTGGCCTCGGAATCGCATGCCCGGGAGCAATAATTCCCTCAAGGCCTCGGCAGCTCGCTCCGAGGCTCGACAGCCCGAGGACCCATGTCGACCAAAGCCCCCGCGATGGCTTGGCCTCGGCACCTCTGAGCCACAGCCCCCTCGACGTCGTCACGCGATGGCTGGCCGTCGTCCCGGGATGGCGGGGTTACCCGTCACTATGCTATCCACCGTACACATAGTTGACACCCATGCCTCACTATGCTTTGCCAACTCCCCGCCCAAGGACAACGCAGCATGGGGAGCCACGTCTGGCTCTCTTGTGGCCTCGGAATCGATACCAGGGGCAATAACTCCCCAAGGCCTCGGCAGTTTGCTTCACGGGCTCGGCAGCACGGGTCCATGACCACCGAGCCCCCCACGATGGCTCGGCCTCGGCACCTCTGAGAGCCACAGCCCCCTCACGACGTCGTCACGCGATGGCTCACCGTCCCCGGATCAAGGGCGGGGTTACCCGTCACTATGCTATCCACCGTACACATAGTTGACACCCATGCCTCACTGTGCTGCCAACTCCTGCTCCAAGGACAACGCAGCATGGGGAGCCACGTCTGGCTCTCAGTGGCCTCGGAATCGCACCAGGGCCAATAACTCCCCCAAGGCCTCGACAGTTTGCTTCACGGGCTTGGCGGCTGAGGTCCATGACCACCGAGCCCCCCACGATGGCTCGGCCTCGGCATCTGCAGAGCCGCTGCTCCCTCGACGTCATTACATCGGCGACCAAAGACGTCGCCCGCCATGTCCTCGCATCAAGCCAGCTCGAGCCCCGACGCCCGACGCCAAGACCGAAGTCGACCAAAGCATGTCACTTCCGCACGACAAGGACGGGCCACTCCATCGACCATACCACAACAAGAGCCGACTACGAGGGCTCGGACCGCCACCCCATTTTACTGAAGCGCTATGTAGCACTTGTGCGATCCCGGTCCTCCTTAGAGTATAAAAGGGAGGGGCTGGGGCCATTTCTAGGGGAGAAAAAGGCGAACAAGCCGATAGCACCGCTACTCATATGCTTTGCTTGGGAACAACGCCTCAAGCAGCCCGCACCACCCTGGCCGAGACACAGGGCTAGTTCCCTCTCTCACCTAGCTTGTAACCCCCTACTACGAGCACTCTGGTGCAAGGAATACAAGATCGATCTCTCGGACTGGACGTAGGGCCTCGATTGCCTGAACCAGTATAAACCTTGTGTCTCTTTGCGCCACCATCCGGGATTAGGGGCACGCAGCACAAATTCACTCGTTGGTTGAGGGACCCCCGGTTCCAAAACACCGACACATATTGAATTGAGTTGCGCCTTCCCCACAGTATCCCCCAAATGACGGAGGCGGTGGCGGTGGCGGTGGAGAAGGAGGCCCGTGCTTCTTATGGTACGGGCACTGGCAGTAAGGATTATTGCATAGTGCCTCATCTGCATCATTGTTGTTGTCGTCGTTCGACTTGTCCCTGCTACCACTTCCAGGGCCATACTCTAGGTCAAAGATGCGTCCCTGTAGATATGTGATGTACTGTTGATGGGGATAGATAGGAGGAGGGTCGACCCATCTAGTGAAGCCATAGTTATCTAGACAGCTTGAATCCTGAAAACCCATCTACCAATAAGTACTACTACAAACCAAATGCAAATCTAAAAAAGAAGAGAGTTCAAAGGAAATACAAATCCTCGTGGGCATCTGAAGAAACGACAGCCTCCACCATCACAGTCGTTGTACATCTGCACAACACAATCCAAACCGTGGAGGCATTTTGGCCAATCTTCAATGCGCTTGTCGTATGATCTAAGAGGTCTCTTACGGGTGAAGTCACTCTTCCTCTCCAAAGGAAATTCCTCTATTGGTTCTTCAAAAGAATCAGGACCCAGAGAACCCTCCCACACAATTGGAGGTCCCTTCCTCACCCCCTTTCCTCTCCCTCCACCGAAACCCTTTCCACTCAAGGAACCTCCGCTCGACATTTGCTAAAACTAAACCAGAAAACAAGTTGTGTGGATGTGGAGCAAGACATAGAGCACTATATATAGAGATGAAGGCAGGCTCACCATGAATACTACTTGACAAAAAACTTGTGTGCATACTCATTTATTGAATTTGCAAAGGCTAGATGCTTTATCTAAAAAGCCTACAACCATGACTGGTCATTTCATCTGAAAAGGCTACACCTGTATTTTGTCACATAATCTAAATGCAGTACATCACTCTGATATTAATTCATTGCGTATACGGATACAACAGTAAACGAATCTAGGCTTTTCAACGAGTTTTTAAATAGACTTTTCATTGACTGCAACACTACTTGTAGCCCTTTCAGTGACTGCAACAGCACAAGTAGCCTTTTCAGTGATACAAACAGTAGCACTACAGTCCTAGGATAGTTAACGAAGTACAGGGCATAAGACTATCTGAAATAAAAGCATAGTGCATTACAACATAATAAAAAAAATCCAGGGAATAAGTTCATCTGAAATAAAAGCAGAGTGCATTACAACATAGTAAAAAAAGTTCATCAGAATGGAGGGAGGAAGAAGAAGGGGGCCTCGGCGCGGCCTCAAGGGACCAGACCTCGGCGCTGAGTCGGGCCGCGCCGAGGTCTGGTGTGTCGGCGTTAAGTGACCCCGCGCCGAGCTACTGGGCCACGATGCGTTGTTGGGCCGCCTGGGCCGCGTGCCGAATGGTGCCCATAGCTCGGCGCTCAGTCCAGCCGCGCCGAGGTTGGGCCCGTGGCGTGGGCTGACAGGACGCCGACGTCTCGGACCCCACGCGCTACCGTGTAGTCGTCGACCGGGGTCGTCCGTGACGTGGCAATACCTCGGCGTCGTGTCAGTCGACGCCGACCCTCATACCTCGGCGTCATGTTCTAAGACACCTAAAAATGGTCTATTTTTAGAAAACGTTTTGGCGTAGGTCTTTTTATAAAAAATGTTTTCAAAAGGGACCAAAATACAAAAATTTCACCCGTCCACTTGTTTTCTTGAGAGGAACATGCATGGTACAGGAGTACAGGACCAACTTCATGGATCACAGTAATGTAAGCTCAATTGTTCATTTTTTTAAGATAAAGAGCTCACTTCTTCATGCAGTGTTCGGCTGAGCAACAAGTCGGCTTGTTCGACTTCTTTTTTCAGCCGGAGCAGTATTTTTCTCTCACAACATTCCAGCCTAAACAATGTTTTCCAACATGAACAGTTTTTTTCCATACCAGCCGAACACTGCCCCAGCTGGTACCCACGTGATGACCACCGTCCACCGTTTGGGCTCCCAAAGTCAGGAATCTTCACCTCTAACTTTGCTCTATTAAAATCAAAGAGCCGTTCTTTTTTGAACGTACGGAGTAGGTGGTAGGAGCACTACCTTGTAATTAAAATTGAAAAGAAAAGAATGAACGCGGTGTGAACGGGTTGCTCTGAGGTACCTCGATGTTGGGGCTATTTTACTTTTGAGGCTGTAACCTATCTTGGAGTTTCTGTATAATGTTTTCTATATTTGATATTAAAGAACAAAGTAATTCTTCCTTTCATCTTTATTTTTTTTATTTCTCACAGTGTCCTCACATCTCTTCCTATCTTATATGTGATCCGAATTCATAACCCGTGATATATCTATATCTATAATCCATATCTATATTTATATCTAATATCAAAGAGCGAAATGATTTTCCATATCCATGTTTGTTTACTTCCCACAATGCCCCCACATCTTTCTCTATCTCGTCTGTGATGTAGACTTACGATCATGCTCATACAAGTTAGAACTACGCGCGTTCATGTGCCCAATGACAGTATGGACTCAACTGTTACATACATCTCCGAGTCGCAAGTCATTTATTTAACCGTGGAACCAGGTATATGTTCCTTTGCAATACACGTGCACGTTTACTATCTACATTTATAGCTATCTATATATCCCTTAATATTTAAAAGCTAAAGTTTATTTTTGTCCTTCATCGCTGACAGTTGGTACATACTCTCCTGTGTTTCTCCCTTTCATCTATTAGTGATTAGTGTACTGATCTTCTATTATATCTGTTTGTGTACAGCACTACAGCTAGTAAGATTTTTAGTTTTTTATATCTGTTTGTGTACACAATGAAATGGGCAGCAACCTGAGCACTGAATGTAAAACATTAGACTGATTCGTCTTCTTGAAAGGGGATGAAGCCAAAATTTCTGTCCATTATACGAAAAAAATATGTCTAACTTACAGAATCATAGAATACTGTTCCAAATCTTGATCAGCCTGCTGCATGGGATTCTTAGATTTGTGCTCACCCAATTCGGTATGGACTAGCTACTACATGGTCTTGAAATTATCATCTTAAGAACACATATATACTTGTAGGCAAACATCATGTATCTGTTAGGAATAACAATAATTTAAATAAATAAATAATGGAGCAGAGTATATCGATATAAGCCGCGTTTGATTGATGCCAGCAAATTAGCCTTGTTAACTGAAAAGGAGCAATCAGTAGTAGGCCCATTAGCTAGTCTAAACATTTGAGAGGCGAACACCACGGATCAAGGCAGTAATAAGCGTGATCACTAGCAGGACCTTCAGCAGGATGGCCAGATACCAGGCATGGGGAGTGAGAACCACAGTCCTCACCGTCGTGACCATCATAAGATATAGCCCGAGAGCCACAGTATAGAAGAACAAGAATCCAACTGCGCTGACAGGCCCAACCATAGAGTTTCCAAAGACCACGGTGATGAGGCCGCCACAGTTGACAATATCAGCTGATAATTCGAATATACGGTCAAAATGCTGACCATCTTCTTCATCGGCACCGTGAGCCTGAACAGGAACCTCGATATCAACAGTATGATCACCTTCGTTGTTGTTAGACCTTTGGTGTTGCATCAGTCCAGGCAGCAATTTATGTTGAAGGAGAGCAGTGACGATAGGGAGCGGCACTGGGAGTATGGCGTAGCCATAGTACTTGTTGAACGAGACAAGTAGAAGGTATGACACTAACACTAGAAGGAAGCATGAGAGGTAGACTAAGGCACTGCCCATCTTTGGTGGCATCATTATTGAGAGCGTGGCATCGGCGATGAAGAAGGCTCCAATAGAGATCTTGAAGACCATGTTTCCAGTGGAGAATGATGTTGATGCTGAACCCAGATAAGTAACGAACATAGTAATCGCGAACATGAGAGCCTTGACAGAGTATTTGGACCAACGTATCTTCTGCTGCTTGATGAACTGATCATCCGGGAGCGCAGTATCGTTGACGCCCACGCCCTGTGTATTTTAGAAAGGAAAAAAAATGAAGTTTTAACCATGTTGAGAATGAGAAAATATGGGCATTTTTGCAGTCAAGCAACAAAATCAATATCTGGAGTGTGTATCTTTTTATGGTTACCCAACCCACCATGCTCGGTGGCTCCTCCGTAATCTCGCTGCTCGCCTCCATTATTTGTTCGATTCTGCCCTGAAGCACTAGAGGCCGGGACTGGGACCCGGAGGACTGCTGGTCGTGGTCGTGGCCGTGGCTGCTTCCCTCCTCGTTGACGACAGCCGCAGCATAGGTGCCCGCGGCCTGTCCAGTCTTGACCAATCCATCTTCGTCCTTGGAGAGAGGCTAAAGATTAAAATGAAAGATCCATGAGGGAAACCTCAACCAGTGTTTAATTTTAAATTTCTACTAGTTTCTTTTCAAGCATAGGCCCTTGATGTACAATACAAGGCATTTCGCTTCAGTACTTGACAAGAATGCTGCAGGACCAGAAACCAACCAAGCAGGGACAGGTTTGCTAACAGGATCGTGGCTACATGAATGGAAATTTTAGCTAACCAAGGATGGTGACAGCCGCTACGCTACCTCATGAAGACCGCTGTTGCCGCCACATGGGCCTGGAGCCAAATGGAGGGTTGAATTCTCCTGGATGTTGTAGTCGGCCAGGGTTCTGTCGTGGTCCAGTGGCTGCCCGCTGAAGACGAGGTGCTGTTGTGTCTGCCGAATGCCCTTCTGTTCACGAATCAGCCTCCTGACTTCATAGATGGAAGTCTTGAGGCTATACAACATGAGCGTGAAAATCTCGCCGTCGAGCTTCCTGACAAGTATTTTAATGTCAGGGGTAGTGGCACCGCCACGGAGACGATCGATCAGATGGATATCTGTTCCATACTGGAAGCCGTATTCCCTCAAGGTATACCATTCCTTGGTAGCACCCACTCCATTGCTGAATACCAATCTCTGAGATGCCGGAGGAATGTCTATCTTTTCAAAAATCATATACTTGACAGCCTCGATGGTTTCTGAGAGGTCAACTTCTTCTAGCTTGATAGTCCTACCCGATAAAGTCTTTACAATGATCGACTTCGTTCCTTGGCTGGGGCGCCGAAGCTTTTCTGAGGCCATGGCCTCCATGCAATGTGATCCGGTGCCCTCTTTCTGATGAAGAGTGAACAATATAGATGTTTATGAATCAGTACTGAACGAATCAGACATACAGGGCTCAGTTCCAATTATTTATTTGATAACAACTAGTCTATAAAGAAAACATATAAGTATTAGAAGTTTGTAAACAAATTTAGCACATGCAAACAAGTAACAAACTTAATTATCATTGATCTCTCTTTCTTTATTTTCTAACATAATCTCCGATCCATATGCCATAGGTACGACCGTACGATGGGTAATTTAAATACGAATTTAAGATGCTACTTTATGTTATTTTTCATAATAGAGAATGTAGGCAGCCTTGTAAAAAACATAATATATAGGTCCCATGGTTATTACTATCGTTAACGGCTTATTTGGATGCATGTGTATCCACTTCGATCTACATGTGTTGGAGTGTAATGGAATGGAACTTAGTTTAATTCCACTCCAATCCACTTCAACACATTTGGATTGAGATGAATACATATACATCCAAATAAGGCCTAAGGTTCAAGTCTATGAAATTGATGGCCTGACTGTTTTTATTTTTATGAGAATTGTAATATTTTTTTCCTATCATATCTTGTGAGAATTAACACGAAGACTTAGCTGGAGGCCTCCAAGTCCAGTTAGCAATAGTAAAATGTGCTTTTAGGAGGAATGTGACCATGATTACGCTATATAAAAATATGCCTTTTCACTTTTTTCTTTATATATTTTTTAAAGTATGATTATACGACCATCTCTTTAGCCAAAACTGTTTTGCCTAGCAGCTGGAGTCGGAGCTCTCCAAAATTCTTTGCTACCGGCACGTAAAAGCATCCTCATCAGTTAAATAGCATCAATCTCTTTTTTTCTAAAACCAGCAATAAAGATGATTGCAGTAAAAAAGCATGCTCGACCAGATCCCCTTTTCAATTGTTTTTTCCTAATTTTTCCCCTCAGTTGAGAAAATCATCAACCAGTAAGTTTTCTCAATCCCCATTCTTCCCACACCTTCACTGATATATCGGGCCCAAGTCTATGCTAAACTGCATTGACAAAATTCTACATGCAGTTGTATTTGGAAAGAAAGCAAGGATGCGATATGATAATCGTTGTATTACCTCCGGAGGATCGCCGCCATGCAGGCGAGTGTCCAGAAGGAGAGATGAAGACGGCCCGTGCTGGACGCCATAATCAGCCAAGGTACGGTGGTCGTTGTTGAGCCGCTGTTCTCTGAATATCAGTACCTGTTGCGTTGGGTGAGTGCCCTCCTGCTCATAAATCATAGCCTTGACCTTGGCGATGGTTTCCGTGAGATCCAGCTCGAGACTGAAAGTCTGATGACCCAAGAGACTCTCGACACGGATCGTTTTCGCTTCGGTGCGGCGGGGGCGGCGACGCCGCCGGAGGCCATCTGAGGGCATGGCCTCCGTGCGATGTGCTCCAGTGCTCTCCATCTGAAAGGGGGCGCGCGCACTGGCTGCATATGGATGAGTAGCAAAACCAATATCCATCCATGTTAGCTAGCTTCAATACAAGGTCTAGAGAGTAGAGACACCACGGGTCTTGTTTGACGCATGTATTGATCTCAATCCACACGTGTTGAAATAGATTGTAGTGGAATTAAATTAAATTTCATTCCGGTCCACTCTAACACGTATGGATCAAAGTGGATACACATACGTCAAAACAACCCACAATGAAAAGAGTGGAGAAAACATACATACCGTGATTGCCTTGGGAGGTGCTTGCTTCCGATATGGCTTTGATTTTTGGTCGGAAGACGGTATATGGGTTGTGTTGTACTGCACTTATATTAGACCCGAACATCCGCATGCGTGAGACTCACGCGGTGCAAGGACGAAAAGCATGTGAACGCCGCAGGGTAAGTTTCCTCGAAGTTGAATGCCACGCGTAGTTGTGCAGCTTAGCAAGATAGCAGAGAGAAAATTAGTGCCTTTGGTAGCTCCAGTGGCACTCACTTGTCCCCTACAACTTTAGTGAGGAAGAGGCATTTCAACAAGTCTGTGAAGGAAGGTAAAGCGAGACTTCCTAACAAACAAAAGCCTGGACAATAGTGGTAAAAGAAGGTAAAGCGAGACCTGTTCGCTTGGAGGAATTCTGGAGGAATTTGGATGGTTTGGAGGAATGCTAGAGGAATTTATGAGAAAAAAACACTGTTCTGGATGAAAAAAGAAGCGGATCAAGTCGGATTTAAGGGCACGCGAACGGGGCAGCGCCAAACAAAAGTCAGTCAATAGGGATAAATTAAACGCAATTACGCAAAGCGAAACTTGCTGCCAAACACAAGTTTGAAACCATACCCGGACATCAGAAAGTGGGGCATGAAAATCACAAAAGCACTCTAGTACTCGTTGTTGATAGAAAGCAGAGTACTGGACTATGACGCGGCCATGTTACAAATGTTTGTGGAGTTATCCATCCATCTCTTTTTTTTTCCAGAAGTTAAGTTTGAATGTTTGCAAATGTAGATGAGTTTGCACCCGAGAAACAACCAAATATGTTGTGATGTGCCTTCTATGGCTTACACTTGAAAGGGAATTCCCCATCTCCCCCTTTGCCTGCCACACAAACGGAACATCACAATATATTCAGAATGATAGTTCACAACCTCCCCTTTAATTATGAGATGACAGCGAGTTAAAGCATGGACTGAAATATAGAAAGATAGTAGTACTCCATCTATGCCAAATTATAAGACGTTTTAGCTTTTCTAGATTCATAGCTTTTGCTATGCATCTTAGATATAGTATATGTGTATGTCTAAATGCATATCAAAAGCAATGTATCTAGAAAAGCTAAAACGTCTTATAATTTGGAACAGAACAACCCTGTGGATGACGACGATGGATGGGAAACTCCGGGAGGACGTCGCCCTACTAGCAGCAGTCGGCCATCTTTTTGCTTCTGGATGCATGCCCTCAGGCATTCTGTCGAACACATCATGCCAGACTACCAGTTTTTTCCCCTAAACCAAGCAACAAGAATTCCACCCATTGGACCTAGAGATGACAATGAGTACCAGAAACCCGAAATCCAACAGGTTTTTACTCAATTAAGGCAAGGGTATGGACCAATTTCTCTATCCGTGGGTCTGTTAATAAGCAAAAAGTTAGACCATCGGGTTTGTGTGGCTCAGGGGTGTGGTACCCAAACCCATAAACCTTTGAGTTTTTTAATCCCGATCAATCATAATAGAACATGCATCTCGTCCAGTCAACAATACTTTAAACTTTTTAAGTGGAATGGTCCATTTAGTGGCTTACGTCCATCCCATATCAACAAAAAATAGCAGAAAAAAAGAGAAAGAAAGAAGTGCTGCTCCTGTCATGCATGCTTTTGTTTGGTGCATGGGCCGAACTGTCGAAATGTTTCGGCCCACTCGCGTATGCACATTACTCGTTGCTGCTTGTGAGTTTACTACCACACTGCTTACACAGAAACAAATGTTTAGAAGCAACGCAGCAACCAGTTATGTGCTGACGCACGAGCCTTGCTGCTTAGCCTTTATTGAGAGTGGTATTAAAATAAAGAATTGATCACTACTTTGCTTGGGATGTTGTTCAAGATTTTTATTTGGAAACTACTCCTTGGGAGTAGAAAATAATTTCTCTCTCTATATATATATATATATATATAACTATTAGTCTATAGCTGGCTACATAATACCATATTTTGTAGCCAGACCAAAACTATCACCAGCGAACCATGGTCACCGCCGCGTGGCTTTGGCTTGGTCGTCCGTGGTCCCCTTCTAATCAATGCTTGCATGGAGTCATGCCGTGATTCAATCCCTTACTCCGTTCATTCATCCACCGCATGGGTCCCTTCTCATCACGTTGCTTCCTTTTTTTCCGGATCAATCACATTGCTTCATTTTCGGCCTGCAACAGACATTCTGTCCGCCCGCAGAACTCACACCGTCCGCCGTCCTTCGGCCTGCAGTGCGCTGCTCTTCGCTGCATATGCCGATTCATCCACCAGTGTCGCAGCTGGCGCCGGTCTGGCTCCTGTTCTGGATCTGCCTCCGGTGCATGCTCTGGCGACTCCGCCATTCCGGTCTGCTCTTGTTCGTCCGTCTTCATGAGGTGAGCTCCCGGCACCTCCGACGAGCATCGCCGCGGCGAGTGGCGAGCAGCTGCGTTTGGGGCTGCGGTGTCGTCCCTTGCTTGCCCCTGCACGACGGAACCTGGAGCACGGAGCACCCATGGGGACACCGGCACTTTGAGCAGATCGTCACCGGCAGCGGTACGTGTTGGGTCTGGGCTCTGGGGAAAAAGGAGCGCCTCGCCATGTTTCCGGCTCTGTGGCTCCTTCTGATTTTTCGTTGTTTGTCGTCCCAGAACTCCAGAAGCAGTCCCAGCAATGAGCGCTCATGGATTTGGCATCTGCAGCTGGTCTCTTCCGCTCGTGGATCTGCTGCTCGGTTCATGAAGGCCACGGCCTACATGCTACGTGTGGCCAACGACGAGCCGCACCAGAACGACGATGTACTATCGCAAGCTTTGATATAAAATTGTTGTAACTATCCATTCTAATTACTGTTCCATACTATTTGAATTATCATGATTAATTTATGGTAAATTTGTTTATTTGTTATGGTAACTGCTCCCTGTATCATCATCATATCGAAACATGGTAACTCCCGATGCTAAGTATGGTAACAATATATTCAGGTTACGGTAAATTAATCTAATTGCTAATAAAGCTTTCTTTTTCCTGTATTCGATGTTATAGTAACTAGTTATCAGAAACCATCTGACGTCAATTTGTGCTAAATTGCCGTGCTAATTATCGTAACAAGATCATTTGCATGAGCCTGGAACATTGGCACACTAATTATAGTAACTAGAAATTCATCGTGACAAGATCATTTGCGTGCGACTGGAACGTTTGCAACGCAGCGACCCAGCTACAACATAACTTATTTTGTAGCCAGCTACAGAGAATCATTTCTATACAGAGAATCATTTCTACGGAGAGCTCCACCACGTCGATGTCAGGGACCTCCGCCGCCCACCACTCGCTCGACTGATCCAGGTACATCCAATTCTGCTCCAGTCGCTCCTCCCTTGGCCTTCTCCGTGCCCTTCACCAAGAAGGGTGACCAGAGCACGAACACCTGGCATGTTTATATCACTACAGATGCAAGAAAATATACCTCAATTTGGGTCAAAGAATCTCTCTTCCGCAACCTTCATAATCCAAATTGTTTCAGATTAGAAATTCATGGATTTGAGTTCATTACTTTTTGTGTTGTTTTTTTTTCTCGTAAATCATAGTCACAAAATTACTATAACCTTTTCTGCTAGTTACTTTTTATTGATTAATCTGTTTGCTGTTGGATTGTTCTGTAATTTATCCAAATTGTTTCAGACTAGAAATTTCATTGATAATTTGTAACTTACTAATATATTATAACTTAGTTCCTGGTATGGTACAAAATTATCGTAAATAACATATCGATCTTCCAGTAACCAATTCTGTGTCATGGTAACTGTGTCCACCAATTGACGAGCCTGCATGTACATGGTTCAACTATCCTCAATTTTTCTTGCTCCTGCAGATTGAAGCAAGCTTGCTTACTTATTTTGCCAGTGACACCTCCATTCTCACAGTGATGTTTTCTACTTTTCACCCTTGCAGATTGAAATCGATTTGATCTAGAAACCAGAACTGAGCTACAGGAATTAATTCTGGTAGTTACTTAGGCCAAGGTTACAGTAAACTCATTTGTTCTTGTTAATGATCTATCATGTATCTTGGTTAGCTTATAATATAAATCACTGATGTGTTATTCGTTCTAATGTTCATTCACCACAGGTGCACGAGAAGGGGCCCAAGTTTGAATTAGAGCTGCACTTCTACATGCTTTTACCATCCACTGAACGCTGACGAAGCTTCCAGCCGGACCTAAGGCTCACATGGCATGATCTTGATCGTCCCAGAGTCGTTCAAAATGAGTGGAGACCTAGTATCATTCTGATGGGAAATTAGTGTAAACATTATAGCTATTTTATGATAAATCAGTGTAAACATTATAGTAACTAGTTATTTGAGACTACTTGACGTATATTTGCCTTGGCTCTCTGCTGTTTATATGTATACCCAATACATTTTAGTATTTGCATATATTCTAGTAAATAATTCTGAAAAAAAATCTAGTAAATATATTATCGTAACTACACTTGGTGTAGAAAAGCATAGCTTCTAGTAAATAATTATGTAAAATTCTAGTAAAGATTACTGCAAAAATTTAGTAATCATTACTGTAACTACTAAGGGTAGAAAGACATAGATTCTAGTAAACAATTTGCGAGTCAAGTAAATAGATTATCGTAACTAATAAAACGAGGCAGCATAGATTCTAGTAAACAATTTACTTCCTGGACGAATCCACTTTCCATGTGCTCTAATAAAAAAGTAATTTGGAGCAAGAATTACCATAAACGACGAAGCTTGCCATATCCGTGCAAATGGTGCATCCTCGAAACTTGCATGCGTTGACTTGTGAATTCAGTAATCAGCGACCGTGAAAATTGCCTCTCCGGCCGGATAGTGATTACAGTAATTAGCGATATTAATTTGCATGCAACTCCTTCTGTCAGCTCTGCTCAAGAAGCCAACCAGGCATCGCAAACCGGACGGAACGCTGGCTGCATGGACCGGCCTGGCTATAGAATAAGTTAATTTGTAGCCAGCTACATGGCAATATATATATATATATATATATATGGAAATTATCTCTCTCTATATATATGGAAAATATTTCCTACTCCCAGGTAGTAGTTACTCCCATATGTATATATCTAGATTTATGGCGTATATGACTCGACCAAGTATATGTAGATGGAGTATATCATCGTACTAGACCATCTAGAGTATTATATATGATAAGTATGTATGTATACTTATTTTATATGGTACTATTATAGTATTATATAATATATTAAAAAATATGTGTTCTTTTGAAAAAAAAATCACATAGTAAAGATTTAGAGTATCTTAATATTAGTATGTCAACATATTCAAACTGATAAATGAGTGTGTACACATACGTAACGTGATTTATTGATTATGGGAGTAACTACTCCCTATATATATATGGAGAGTGTATTCAGTAGCCAGCTACAAAATAAGTTATTCTGTAGCCACCTCCATTTACGATAATTTTATATACTAATTTACGATAATATCAATATATGTTTACGATAGTTGGGTTACTATAACACATGGGGATATTTACCATAACGTTATAGTAAACCACTTAGTAAGGAGTTATTATAATCTCATAAATTAATATAGTAATTATCGTAACTCAAAGCTACAGAATAAGTTATTTTGTAGCCGGCTACAGGATATATATATATATATATATATATATATATATATATATATATCCTGTAGCCAGCTACAAAATAAGTTATTCCGTAGCCACCTCCATTTACAATAATTTTATATACTAATTTACGATAATGTCAATACATATTTACGATAGTTGGGTTACTATAACACATAGAGATATTTATCATAACGTTATAGTAAACCACTTAGTATGGAGTTATTATAATCTCGTAAATTAACATAGTAATTATCGTAACTCAAAGTGGCTATAGAATAAATTATTTTGTAGCCAGGTAGTAGGTATATATATATATATATATATATATATATATATATATATATATATATATATATATATATAGGGTAAGGCTATTTTGCAGCTGGCCATAGAATAAGTTATTATGTAGCCACCTCCATTTACGATAATTTTATATACTAATTTACCATAAAGTGAATACATATTTACGATAGTTGTGTTACTATAACACACGAGGATATTTACCATAACGTTATAGTAAATCACTTAGTAAGGAGTTACTGTAATCTCGTAAATTAGCATAGTAATTATCGTAACTCAAAGTGGCCACAGAATAAGTTATTTTATGGCCAGCTGCAGAACAGTGGTTCTCTCTCTCTCTATATATATATATATAAGCAACGCAGCAACCAGTTATGTGCTGACGCACGAACCTTGCTGCTTAGCCTTTATTGAGAGTGGAATTAAAATAGAGAATTGACCACTACTTTGCTTGGGATGTTGTTCAAGATTTTTATTTGGATTTATCTGAGTTAAATATTAGATATTAGATATCAGATGGATATTAACCATCTTATATTCCTTTTTGGCATCGAATATAAATATTTGAATTTGTATATAATACTAGTAAATGTACCTGTGCGTTGCAACGCAACACAATACTTTGAAATCAGATTTTGTATCATCCTAAATGTGAGTTGTCCTGACTCGTATAGTGCGGGTCATGAGTCTGAGTAGATATGTAGGGCGTGACCTTATCCTAACTTGTATGGCCTGGGTAATGAGTCCGAGTAGATGCGTAGGGCGTGACCCATTACGTATTGAAATCAGACTCTATATTTATCATCACTAGATATGAGTCATCCTACCTCGTATGAGTAGGGGTCAAAAGTCCGAATCACATATGAGACACGAAGGGTGTGAGTGCAGTTTGGAAAGTAAAAAATGACAGAAGTCCAAGCAGTTAGGGGGAGGTGGACGAAAAAATAGGTAGAGATAAATTTTGCCTTTTTAATATTAGGCTAACAAAATATGTCCACGCATTACGACGGGAGAAAAAAACGAGTATCAAGATCCATAAAGAACTCACATTAAAAATTCATACAAAATTTAGCCTTTACCAAGATACGTGGGAACATCATAAAAAGCCACTCGGGTCGAGAAGCGTCCTTTTGAGACGATTTGTAGTTGTTGCTAAGTGGATGCAAGCAGTTCCTAACGCACTAATTAAAACCCTTAATTTTCTATTGCCGTCGACTTGCAAGGATTGTTGACATCATTGATGCACAATCTTGAAGACATGTTACCGTGTGACAGTACTTGCAACTGCTGGCTCACCACCTCAAGAACCCACCAGTACATGTCCTTCAAAGAAATTGCTCATACCACATTAATGTTAAGTTATTTATTAATTAGCCAGAGATAGGTAGAATTCCCCTTAATTGTTGATGTATCTGATTGGCACCCATATAGCAATTTGTATAGATGATATGCTGAAAAGGCCGATCCAAACATAGGACAAATGTTATCTAGAAAAAGATTTACATTATAACTCAAAACTGTTGGTTTGACGGAGTGGTATGGAAGTGTCATCTAGTTCCATGATGAAGTCTTGTGTTCAAGGCCTAACATAGTTTTATTTTAGGGTATCTTTTTACCTCATCTTGTGTTGTGAAGTGGGAATTAGGCAGGGCGGAGTCGGAGAAGGAGACTAGGGGAGAAAGCATTAGGATCGCATAAGACCAGATGAATGAGGAGGTGGGTTGTGCAGAGTTGGTTGTGCAGAAGAAGGCATTAGGATTGCAAAAGACTAGATAAATGAGGGGGTGTAACGAAAAATACGGGAAGAGAAATGAGGGGGCATAAGACTAGATTTGGACATTTGTTTGGGTTTTTGAGAGAAGATTCTCTTTCGTTGGTCAGAAAGTATATGTATCATTTACATCCCTAGGTGCGTGTCTGTTGCGGGCACGGGTGACTAGTTGGGTATCCGTACGAGCAGGGCATGAGTTTCGACACAAAATTCAACTCACGATGGATCCTGAGTTCTTTAGCGGGCAGATTTTATATTCATAGACATGAGTTTGGATTGACAAAACCCAACAGATTTGTGTGCATTGCCATCTCTACTTAGACCATCTTGCATGTTCCATCCGTCGCCGTTGGTGATACGCAGGACGATGGTGGACCTCTATTCCACGTTCCGCAGACAGAGGCGCCAGCTGTCGGCGGGTGGGCGCGCAGGTCTACACGGCCTCGTCCTCCAACTGATCCAGAGAGGAAAGCAAGTGATGCGGGAGGGCGCCGATGGGATGGATGCTCCCTCGTCGTTCTTGTCCATCCCAGTCGAACAGGTAGGTAATTGGCGCCGCCGTGCCGGTGCAGACTGCAGACGGAAGAATTGATCGACGAAAAGAGCAGGACTATTACTTCTGTCGCAATTCTCGTTTTTGGATAAATCAAAAGACTTAGTTTGACCAAATCTATATAAAAAAGGTAAATCTAATTTTTGCTGTTTTTATTTTTTTCTCGTTTTCCAAGAGCTAAATCAAAAAAAAAATAAAGTTTTTTAGAGATATTTCCACGAGCGCTAAATATATTATTTGAGTTTCCCATGTCTCCAGTCTATTTATAGGATTTATTTTTGGAATTTTAACAAGTTCAGATATATTTTTCTGGTTTAAAAATCTTATCAAGTATTCATTGGGTTTTTTTTTTATAACCATATAAAAGAATGATGAAACCACATCGAAAACAATTCCTAACCCAGAAGGGAGGTAACGTAAATTGTTTTGAGATGAGGGAGTATGAGATCAGGCTTACAGTCCAAGAAGAAAAATCATCGGATTCAGAGAGGTAAAATGAACTTTCCAACATGAACAGAGGACCACCAGACTGAGACGTGAGACGACAATTTTGAACTAAGGTAAA